ATCAACGCCAAATCCTGACTCGGGCGATTTTCATCGAATTTTTTGCAAAGATGTAGTACGATTAGTGGAAACCTCAAATATTCATAAGCATTCTACAACTTGCTATAAATATTCGAAAGGCTAGTCTGATACTTCAAAAACTTGCCGAATGCGTATGCCACGTGTACTGGTGAAGACTTCCAACATCGATCTGTCGATAGGTCAGATAACTATGCGGCGATCGCATCCGTGGACCAATAACTTCAATGAATGGCTCAAAAGTGCTTGTCGGTTCAATATGGATATAAAATTCATTCGGAGTGGCAATGATGCTAAGGCTTTAGTGTACTATATAACTGATTATGTAACAAAGTCGACTCTCGCGTTTCATGATATGTTTGCCCTTGCGCAACAAGGAGTCAAATCTATTGAACAGCAGCGAGTCACAAATAGCATTGATACGCCTATATAGATGTGTCAAATTGGATTGAAAATAAAATAGATCATTTTTTATTCTTTTTTTTCTTTCTACCAAGCGAGCAGACGTGCAAAAACGTGTGTGAATTGAATTCAATGGGTCAGATTTGTTGACTTAATATTATTCAAACAGTGAAAAAAAGTATACCTATTTTTTCATACTCTTGCTTTTCCTCGAATGTATACGCAAACATGTCACTTTTATTTTTGACATGTGAACATGTTCTCTCTTTTGACAAGCTGTGTCACATTTAGATGAATTCGTTTCTAATTGGTATTATAATATCACTTTTATTACTCGTTTTTCAAGCGAGATCAAATGAAGAACAATATGAAATCGATCCGAATGGTTATATTATTTTTTGTTTATGTATGGGTCGTTTTGGAAATCAAGCAGAACATTTTCTTGGTGGATTAGCATTTTCAAAATTAATTAATCGAGCATTGATCGTTCCACCTGTATGTATAAAAATTAATAAACTAGAAAACTTATGAATAATCTTGAGAATGAAACATATTTCTTAGCTTAGAGAAAAATAACGATGGTTGATTATTAGCTTTATAGTTTTTAAGTAGATGATTGTCACGCGTGTAATTAAGATAGTAATGTCAATTTTTGAAAAATAAAATAAAAATTTCGAATACAGAAAACAGAATCGATTTCATTTTGTAGTGGCGTACTTACAAGAATGTTCCATATTCAGAATGGTTTCAATTAGAATCGCTTTTATCCTATCATCGTGTTATTGACGCTCAAGATTTTATGGAACAACTTGCTCCTCGTATATGGCCACAAGAATCACGCATTGGATTTTGTTGGTTACCAGCTGATAAATCTAAAAAGGATTGTAAAATGAAAGATGGAAATCCATTTGAATCATTTTGGAATGAGTTACATATTGATTTTATTGATACAGTTGCATATCAACTTAACTATGATGAATATTCAATTGATCAATGGAATCGATTATTTCCATTTTTTCGTTATCCTGTTATAGCTTTAAAAGGTGCACCAGCTTCATTTCCAATGGGAGCTCGATATCGTTCTTTGCAAAAATATATGACGTGGTCTGAAAATATTATAAATGAAGTTCAACAACATCAAAAAAATCTATTCAATAATGAATCATATATTGGTATGTTTGTAATTGAATTTATTGGGTCACTTTATTTTATTTTTTTCTATGAAGGAATTCATTTACGAAATGATCTCGATTGGGAACGAGCTTGTTCTAACGTTGAATCGTATGAAACTCGTTCGTATATGGCCTCACCTCAATGTCTTGATCTACTATCATCTTCACATACATTTGTTACACATAAAATATGTTACCCAACTGATGAAGAAATACTTCGTTTATTAAAAAATGTTATTCTTCGTACACGCATACGCAATATCTATGTTGCAACAGATAAACGATCAATGATTAAAGAAATTGAAGAACATTTGTCGGCACAACGTGTGCATGTTAAACATCTAGATCCATGGTTACCTGTTATTGATGTTGCAATGTTAGCACATGCAGATTATTTTATTGGAAATTGTGTTTCATCATTTACATCAATTGTTAAACGAGCAAGAGATATAAAAAAATTGCCAAGTGCATTTTGGGGTTTTAGTAATTAGAAATAAATACAATTGAATAAATATAGTTTCTTGTTGTGTGGTGAAAAAATTTGTATCTCAATGTTTTATTTACTAGTAAAAATAAACGAATCTGAATGTTGATCTTATCGGATATAAGTTCTTGCTATATCGTCTCGATATAAAATAGACTTTGAAAATGATTAGATATTTAGTAGCTAATAATTTTGAATATTTGAAGAACAAAAAAGAAACTGCACGACAAAGTCAAAATGAGAAACTTCAAAGTATCTGAATGATATACATTATTAATCAGCATAGATTATATAATAAAATGTTTGGAATGGAGGAAGAATAAAAAATGATTCATATTGACCGACTGCGCCAGTATGACCTGTTATCTGATGTGTATGATTACCATTTGAGTGAAGTGAAATTTGAGTAAAAGACGTTGAAATGGTATATGCTTGCCACTTACGATAGCCATTCATTTGATAGTTATATTCTCCATAGTTTGTTGACGTCGACGATGGAACTGCATATGAACTTGTCATACCACCATGATTATGGCCAGGGTCATAAATACCATGTGCATGTTGACCATCATACGAATTTTGTAATATACCTGAACTATGGGTATGAGATGGTAGTTGCTCAACTGTTAACATATGCTTAGCGTTGCCCCCTTCATCACCAACTTTTGTAGCTATCTCAACACGTAATTGTTCAGTATCGACTCCAAGTGGAACTCGACCACGTAAATCAGGTAATTTGAAAGTTGTGGAATTATGACCTTCACCATATTTTGTACCAATAGCTTCAAAGAGACGTGGATATTCTGAACGAGATATGATAGAACCGTCACATAGTAGCCACGGATGAAGAGGAGGAGATGAACCAGCGTACAATTTAACTTCACCAGTTAGTAAATTCTTATTGTTTTCTGGTGGAATGATGTTTTCATTGTTGAGAAAAGAGGAAAAATTGATATTTTCTGGTAGAGTAAGAAGACTTGTATTCTCCAAAGATGCAAAGAGAGTATCATTGCTTAATGATGAGAAAAAATTGAAACTACTCGATAAAGAGGTTGAAGCGCCGATTCTTCGGATTACTGCTCCGTTTCTTTTTTCAGCTAACAATTGTTTGGAAATAATAGCTACTTGTAATTGATCCACCAAATCAATTAGTCTAAAAACTTTGAATGATTTTGGTATAAATTTTTTTCCTTCCCAAGCGCCTTCTATTGATACTTGCGACGCAGCTTTTTTAATATCAGATTCTGAAACAACATTGTGCGATGTAGTTTCGTATTCTTCACTATTCTTTTTCTGATGATCACCATGTACTATTATATCAATTGCAGTAAAAATTGTTCTTATTCGTAAATCCAAGGGAGCATGAGATGGCAAGTAACAATCTTTGCGTTGATTGACCGAATAATAGTTTTCTCCATTATTATGTTTCTTCGTTTCGGTTTTATTAAATGTAAACATTTTGCTCATTTCACTAGCTATGCGATCAGGATTAAGATCAGCCGATTGCCATACTTGATTGAAAGCACCAACGTGAATCTGTATTTCTTGAGCTTTATTGATACCTTGCTGAAAGAGAGCAGCTAATTGCTCTTCTAAACCACGCGTTAATATGGACATATCAGCATTGACATCTTCAATATATATCAGTTTTTTTACATTAGTCACATATTTTGCAACAAAACTGGTTGCTTGATCACGATGAATATATGTTGAATTAGTTCCACCGCCATCAGCTATTGTTTTAGTTAGAACAGATTGTAGTTGAGTTGCAGTAATAGCCATCATATTCGTTCTGACACGATGCATGCCAGAAAAGTATAGAGAAACTTCAATATCAAAATCTCCGGTAAGTAAACCGGCAGCAACTATTAAAGCAATTTCTTTGATCGGACAAACAAATCGAAAGATAACAACATTGGAATTCGGATTATCAATATGAAACGGTGCGACACCTATTACTGGGATTGAACCTACTGTAACAATATATGCTGAGAGAGAATCAAGCATTAGAGGAGCAATGACCCACGATTGCGAATATTTTTCAGCTATTACAGAACTAAATTGATTAGCAATAGCTGCACGTGCGGCTTCTTCTACTTCTGGCGTACCGAGAGCAAGTCGAACACGTACTTCAAGTTTGTTTATCGTTACCCAAGGTAGAATCACTGCTGTCTGGATTGGTTGCAACACAGGTACATAGAAAAAAGTCCATTTTTGAGGTTGATTGACATTTTCATCATTCTTTTTTGGACTATAAATATACACATGATTACCATCAAAGAGAAATTGAGTGAAGTGATGAACATTAAAAACGACATTGCCTATGGTTTCTTTATCCAATAATGATCCTGACTGTAAATCACTGATTGTACCTAAAGTCAAGTTTGTTAACTGATCGAGAACAGATGAGCGAGTGAGAGTAGACACATTGATTCTATCATTCAAGTAGGTTGAATGAAATTCATCAATCAAATGTTCATTGTTCTTTTCGGCATTGATCGTTAATAAAAGGGTGATAATGAAGTAATTTCTTGAGTAGAACATTTCTTAATGGTCACTCTATTTTGTTTATTCTGATATGAGCTCACTCGAGTTATATCTGTTTATATACAACGCATGTATGACATAAACAAAGTTCACAACCTACATCTACTACTACTACTACTACTACTATTTTATATTCAATGAGATACTCATTTGATATTCAAATCGTTAAAATTTGAATATGTCATGTGTGCATGATTTCTCAAGATCAGCAGACAAAACAAAAATAGGCCTAATAAAACATGTTTTTTCAAGCACAATAAAAAAAAGCATGCATCTAATTGTCGATACTTTGAATCACATGCATATATTAACTAAAGAAATGAAAGTAGTTTTTGGAATTAGAAAGATATATCAGATCGTCCAATGCATTAAGCAACGACAAGTGAAAACACGTATTAAATACAAATCCTATTCAAAGGACAACGTGCTATCGTACACTCAACTTAAATCGCAACTAATATTAAAGTATCGATAGATTTTAGTCATCAAACAGATTATAAGCAAGATAATATTTTTTTTGTCATTTCTTTCTATTGTAGTGAATTAATGCCGCCTACTCAATTATTGATTTAGATTTGTTATGTCAGGAGATATCTGTCCTGTCATAAGTATGTTCTCTCTGCTTCTCTCGGTTTCATTCTATCACGTTTACAATCATTCCATTCTTTTTCTCGTATCTATTCTATTTAAGTGAGTGCTAATGTTTAAAGACGGGGAATTATTACTGGTGAAAATATAATAATAAGAAGAAGGCGAAATAAAGAAGATGATTGTAACAAGATATGAATGAATCTCATTTAAATTGATTCTTTTAGCTTGTACAATCAGTTTCAATGAAGATTTACAAGATATTGGAGATAATTCAAATGAGTCATTGACTTCAAAATATATTGATTAGATTTGTCCAATTGATATTTTTTGGTGTTTACTTACACACTTCATCTGAACTATAATAGTAACTCTGAAACAATTGCATGTTGATGCAAAACATCGTTTGTTTGCTGCGCTAATGTATAACTTATACAGATATTTTAAAATGATGAATCTATGCTAGTTGAGGTCGTTTATTACCGAGAATAATACTATATTAGTTATTTCTCTCGTAATTCATACGATTATTTTAGTTCTTCTGTCGTAAAGAATGCAGCTATTTTTGGATTCATAGTTTGCATAGAGATGGTGAGCATGAAATTATTGCGGAAATCAAAAAGTACAAGTTAGCACAACAAAAGTATATACACCAGCTCTTGCTCAATATCATGGTGCTTATTTATTGAAGCAAAAAGAAGATTCACGTGATATTCTCATTACTAGTGTAAGGAGGAATGTAGTAGTTGTCTTTTTGTTGAATATCTAATTTATTCGATGCATTCAATTTTTATGCTAGATTAAATCGTGGTAGCCAACAATACCAGAGTACGATAAGCTATGCCAGTGAATTTAATTTATCGCATTCTAGTAAAACGCCGACAATCCATTTCATTACTTGCCTTCACACAAAAATATTATATCAACAGGAGAAACTCAAGTAGACTATGTTGAATTAGTTCGTTATATCATTGAGTTCATATGTCAATGGGAAAAAATCTATCGACGTGTTGTCTGTATTTCATCTCCTTCGCATCCAATAACGATTGTTTGTAGCAATGAAAAAATGTTTCTTTTCACAATAACTCAACAGAGAATTAAATTCAAGTAAATTCTTGATATCCTAACTTTCACTGAAAGATTAATGTTTACTTGTCTTTTGCAGTTAAGATATTATTGTTGATATTGAATTGTCTGCTGTACGAAGAAATACAATTGCAGCAATTGATAACGTTGCTGTTATGATCTCACTTATACCAAGTGAATAGGATTGTTGATTAGACTCAGATTATGATCGAACGAACGAATTTTTATTTTTCGTAGCTGGTTGCAGTGGTTCAATGGAAGGATAATGACAAGACTTAACTAAAACGCACAACAATACTGTTATTTCTCAAGAGTCTCCCTGTTAAATATCGTTTTGGATATGATTTCTCGCTACTTTTTAGTGATCAAATGGCATGAGAGTATAACTAGATAAATATGTGTCAAGCCGAAGCACTGATCAAGACGATGGATACTGATTTTGGTAGTACAGAATTACTCACACCAGTGCTATGACTGAAAAGTAACAAATCATCTGCAAGTTGCATAAGGCCAACTGTTTTAATTCGATGTTTTAGCACGAAATCATAATAAAAATAGCTTAAATTCTAATTTATTCAAGCTAAATAGCTCAATAATCATAGCAGATGAAAAATGATTCATTTTTCATGCGAGTTAAACGTTGAAAACCATGATTAAGCTAGAATGCATTATTTCGAAAGCTCAAAAAAAACAATAATAAGACTGAGCATGTGACAAGAAATGGTAGGATAAAATTTTAAATAAAAAAACTTATGCATGTTCTGTTGATTTCAATGACGATGCATCAAAAATGTGACGATGACTGGCTCGGCGAACACTTTTACCAGGAGGTGAATGACTTGCATGTACTAGTGTTGAAGTCACACATACTTCATTGTTATTATTACTGATGTCTGTTGATGCTCTACGAGAACTTTGCGGCATTTTTAGGTTGCAGCCAACTGCATCATCATAATTAATACGATTTGCAGCTTCAATGTGGTACGCACATGTTGCTACTGTATCACGTCTTGGACGTAAGTTTTCAGAAGTTTGTCCTACCGAATTCATATCTTCAATTTGATCATCATCATCATCGTTATCATTGCCTATTTGGTTATGTGGCCAATTTTCTTCTTCGTACACGACCCATTTGCTTAAACATTCGATAAATCTTTTTGCATATACATGCTCGATCCATTTTCTAGGCAATTCCTTGAAACCATAGTATGCACCTGCTAGCTGTCCGTAGATTGCTGCAGTTGTGCCTGTGTCATCACCAAGATTAACAGCTTTCAGTGCACCTATCTCAAATGAGTTCTCATCGCTCCAAAATGCCCATAAAGCAGCTTCTAGAGCATTAGCAATGTAACCTTCACCACGAATTCCATCTTGGTATCCTCCTCGTTTTTTGTATGATCCTTCTGCTATCTTCTGAATATCTGGATGCAGATCCTTGTCCCCGAACCACGATCTATGATCATCGTAGAATGTTTTTTCAAGTAATTTTTCCTTAGATTTGTGCTGAAGGATGCCTACGATGAGGGTTGCATAAAATCTGCACGCATCATAGGCTTTGGCATTACCATGAGTAATTTGACCACTGATGCCTGCGTATTCAACAGATTTTCAGGATTTCTATAGAAGAAAAGTGGAACAGGTGCGAGACGCATCAATGCTTCATTTCCAGCAGCACCAACTTCGCTACAGTACACACTAAATTTTCTCAAACAATCACGATTTGATAAGAAATCCATATATTGAATAGGAATATTATTTTTGTTAGCAAAATCTTTTTGATTCTTTGCAAACCGAACAAGTGATTGCTTAGTCGCTGAGTCAATATCAAAGCGCTGTCCTGTTGATGACATGTAACCATATTGATACCACCATTTGTAACGTACCAATTGATCGTATGCAACAAAATCTCGTCGAGCAATTAACGATGTTGCTAAGCATAGAGCCATTGAAGTATCGTCTGTAAACTAAAATAAAATACTGATTTCAAATTAAGTAATGTTTCATTCAAGTGATCTGTATGGCTACACAATCAAACGTATTATGAAGAGTTTTCTATGTTTCGAAAATTTACACATTCCAACACTGTTTTATAAACTACATCTAAGACAAAATGCCGATCGATGAGATTTGCTTACATATTATCTTTACTACTGCGGTTTCTAAAAATTGATCTTACCTGTCCATTGTCGAGACCCCACGTTCCACCACCTTTAAGATTTTTTAACTAGATTTGCCTGTAAGTATTCATGAGATCTAAATTCAACGTGAGCACGAAGTGCATCACCCAATGCCAATCCCATCAGAGAGCCTAAGGTTTTATCCAAAACAATTTTATCTATGTTTGCTGTTGGATCTTTCATTTCACATTCGAGTTCGTCAGGCTTTTTTATCAATTTTCTGTGAACATCAGTAAATTGATATTTAAGCCAAGGTTTGTCGACAAATAAACAATACATCAATATCTTGTAGCCAAAGGATTTAAAAATACATAATAAATTAAAAGAGAATCAATAGTACTTTTGATATGTGTCAATAGTGACGCATCGAATATTTTACTAATTTGTTTATGAATTGCTGAGTTTTGATTTCAAATAGATAATAAGGAAAAACTCACCTGGCTCATAAATCCACTGTGCGCGTCTTGCATCGAACATTATTTTTATCTGAAATCATAAAATTACAAGATTATTGTGAACTTAAAGATAATGATGTTGGTTGATTCTACAAAAAGGTATTTTAATTTCATATAAATGACAAACGGTAGTGAAGCGGTATGCGTGTCAGTGAGGAGTCAACGGGAAAAAAACAAGAGAATATCTTTTAAAGATAAAATCTATCTGTTAAGGTAGGCATACATTTCTCAGCTATTGATTGCATGAAAGTGATTCATATTAAAATTGATGTCTCTATATAAAAGACTAGAAAAATGAGGAGCTGGCTTACTTAATCGCTTCGTTGAAAGCTATTCAAATGTTTTGAAAATTGAAAAATGCTATTTATTCAATAATTCTATAAAGCACTGGCAAATCTATTAGTTTCTTTTATCATGTAGGACAATGCAGCAAATATTAGAGGTGATCATAACCATAAAACATTTTTTGTAAATCATTGAAGATGCTAAAGGATTATGTTTGACCTTTTCGTGCTACTAACATGGAAAATGTTTTCTTTAGACTAGTAAACACTGGCTTCACTACTCCACTCTGAATCTATCACACGTGCTAACATAAAAAGTAGAGAGCAAATTTAAAAAACAACTACAGAAAACTACTGGATTCAAAGAAATAAACAAGTAACGAACATAAGATTTATACGTTCAATTAAAATCTGAACTCTAGAACAACTTCAATTTCATGCATCTCACAGTCTTATACTTTCACATCAGTTTACATCGATAAACCTACTAATCGTATATTCTGGAGATGTCACTTTCACTCTAGTCACTTTTAAACGAGGTTCAGTGTATGAAGTTTGCTCGATTTAATAAACAGAACTATAAAGAGAATGATACTATGATAAATAGTGAACTGTGATTAAAATTGACCACCCGCTTCGTTTGAAAATTCAAACTAGAAGACTAATAAATGTAAATTATCGTTGCTCTTTTTCTCCATGCGACTTTATTGTCAACACTTAAAGGAGTTGCGTATGTGTTTAACTTCATTTACTTTCTTCAGCCTTGGCATCTCTCCCTTGTTTGAGTTGCCGTTATGAATAGAAAAAACATACAACGCAAAAAAATCATCAACTGATGTGAGATAGAATTTTTTCTTAGAAGTCTACTTGGAGGAGTAGTCTAGGATACTTATGAAAGTTGTTCGTCACAATGATTGTTACGGGTGCCACTGTTTATCTATTTGATGAAATGAAGTAACACACCAGTCGATCGATAAAATTCTAACAAGGATCGCGAAGCAAAGCATTTTGAAAGAATCTGCCGTACTAACACTATTGTTAATGTCGAATATGTATACTAATTAATTAATGAAAATTATATTTGTATTAAATATAGCGACAAGAACTACAATATTAACCACGCCATTCGGTGTAATTGAATATGACTCTAGACACCTACTATTCAATTTGATCTAGCATAGTATGCTCATTGACATTGAAATATTCTAGGAAAGAATTGTTTGATTATTACAAATATTGAATTAAATCACTATCGATTGTTGTTAAAATGGTTAAAGAAAATGAAAATATTTTGCCACTCAATTTTTCGTATTAATTATGATTATTGAAAGGCAATGGAAAGATTGATGAAAGCTTGTATGTCACCATGTTCGATTAAAATCGATTAATGTAGTCATACAATGAGATATAGATATGGGTAATAAAATCATGGTTAAAAGCACAGTATTTAACTCTTAACAGTTATATCGGCCTGTGCTCAATCATAAAACAAAAATACACAAGTCTACTGTTTGGTTAATAAACTACCTTAGATTTGTAGACTTACGTATTATTATGTATCAGTAACATATTAGTTTGAAATCATTGTATGTAAATATATGAGTTAATAGAGCACGGATACTTCATTTCATTGCATTCACTGATACGAAAATGCTGAATTAAACATTCCTGTATAACATAAAGTCAAACAAGAGTAGTATGTACACAAAGCATGTTCAACGTCGAATTGAAATAGTATAAAGATATCTTAGGATAGCTTCGAGATATTCTTGAAATATGCTGAAGTACAGATGAAGTATGGATGTTTCATTTTTTTATTCTTGGGTTTCCGCAAAAATCGTTAGAGCAATTTGACTATATTCTATATTTTAGTTTCAGAGGTATTTTTACTGCTAACTGGTCCCTATGATACTTTCAGTAGGCATTCATATTCCGTATCGATTGCATATGCACTCTACATCTTGCAATAGATTTACTTTGCTATTTTACTTTGTATCTGTGAAATATAATGTATGAATAACAGTAAACAATTCGGTAATAACTAATTATGATGAACCGTGATTTCATTTTAATTTCATAAATATGAATTGATATTCAAATGGCTCAATAATATAGATTTAGTGCATTGTAATGAAGACTAGCCCATAAAAAATCTATTTATTCATATCTTTCGATAGAAAGAGTCATTGATACCAATGAATCTCTTCTGATATTAACAAAGATAGACATCTATGATCGAATTTTACGAAACAATGATATATAAAACTCAAAACAATCTAAATTGACTTTTTTCGGTTTTTGAACATAACACTCTTACTGATGCATGTCGTTAAATAATATGTCTCCATTCATTCATTCATTGAGGCCTACAAATTGATATAATAGAAATCAGATCCTATCAATATCTATGTAAATCAATCATCGTGGAATATCTTCACATTATTAATAGCTATGTTTGAAAAATTTAGTACAGCCTAAAAATATACAGTGAATCATAACTAATCTATTATGTAGTTTTATTGATGGAAAAATATTTATTCGATCACTTTCATATTATGAAATATCAATATGAATTCGATTTAGAAATTAAAAATAAGGCAAGAATGCACACAATAAAGATCATTCTTTTACTTGAAATAGAAACGCATCCTTACGAGCATAATGTCCACAAATGTCAAGATCCATCTTGCCTCTGATACATTGATCTGTGTCAATTTCAGCTACAAGAACACCTTCTTCACCAAACAGAGGACCAGCAATAATATTTCCAAAAGGATCAACAATCAAACTACCACCATTGGTCAACACACTTTCGGAATCAGAAAATTCCTCTGGCAAGGAATGTTCTTTTGGCATATTCTTTACTTTGACAAATTGATTTGCACTTAAAACATACGTTCGTCCTTCAACAGCAATATGTTGCATACTGGCTTTCCATGTATCACGCCCATCAGCAGTCGGAGCCAAATATATTTGAACGTTCTGCGAATACAGATGATATCTAAGAAGAGGCATATAGTTCTCCCAACAGATAAGCGCTCCCATCGAAATGTCTTTTGTTAATAAAACTGGCTTGACATCTTTGACATCGCCAAAGCCCCAAACAAGTCGCTCGATACCTGTTGGCATTAGTTTTCTTCGTGAATTAATGAGACCTTGTTGAGGATCAATGTAAATAACCGTACAGTAAAGTGTTCCACCATCTCGTTCAATAATGCCAATCACAAGAAAAATATTTTCATTGCGTGCAATTTCTTCAATTCTTTGAATCTCAATAGACTTATCGTTTCCATCGTTCAGACATATGGCAGCTTTATAATAATTGAGAAATTCTGTACGACCTGCATCGGTGCGATGGCCAACTACAGAGCCAAAATGTGAATATCGTGGATAGCCACCGATGAAAGCTTCAGGAAAAAGAGCAAGTTCGGCGCTTTTTGAAACAGCTTCTTTAGCGAACTTTTCCAGATGAGCTAATGTTTTGTCAAAATTGAATTCTTGGCATGCACATTGGCATACAGCAACTGTAATTTTAGGCATGTGGTAAAAAAAAGATACAGATATATAACAGTGAAAATAAAACATCTCACAATATTATATATGTTTGATGAAACAAAAAAAAGCGAAACAGAACGTTGTATGGTATGATAACATCTTACGTGGTACATGTGCCAAAGAATTAGTTTGTTGACATTGTTACCTCAGATAAAGACGAACAAGGTCCACCAACCATGTGGTTGTGCTTTTAATCACTGGATACTTTCAACTTGTTATTTTTTTTTCGATGACAAGAACGCATATTCTAAATGATTAATATTGTATGAACTCAAAGGCTTGATGGTTTATATACAAGTCTGAATTCAGATAAAAATATACCTCGTAATATGATCATGTGCAAAGTATGGCTGCTGAGATTACTTGCTGTTACAAACGATTGTCTCTCCTAAGGCCATTTATGCACGGCTAAAAAGAAAAGAAAATCTTTCTTAAAAGATCTGCGAAATCTTCGAGACTCTCTTGAACGTTTCAAATCTTCCCACATCATATTGAAATTGAATCAAAGTATTATCTCTCTTACCCGAATCATGCGGGTATTTTTTTTAATCTTTACAATGTTAATTTGGACATTTCATGTTTCTTTCGAGTTTATACTAACTGTTTCGTAATACAATAGAACTAATTTAACTCAATAATATTTTGTAGATAGCTCAGTTAATGATTTGCTATTCTACGTATAAAAACTCACATATAGATTGAATAAATTCATATCATTTATTTTCTGTATGTGATTTCTTGATGAAAAAATGTATTTCTTGGTTTTCCCACTAGTGCGTCACCTTTGTCAGAAACACGGAAAAAATTGATTGTTTTTGTGTCAGTCATCATCAAAATGTTTGAGAAATCCACTATGGAGATTTTTATTTCTTTCTACAATACAGGTTACGTCTGACAAAAGATGATTTTGCTTTATTTTATGAGACTTTATATTTCAAGAAAATTTTAGTCTCTATTAGTATTTATATAAACAAATTTATGATGGAACTGGAATCGCTACCCAATGAAATCTTGCTAGATCTATTCGAATATTTTTCTATTATTCAACTTTTACGTGATTTTAATGGCCTCAATTTTCGTTTGAATCAACTTCTATTTGTTCACGCTAGTGTTTATCATCTAGATTTTCGATCTATATGTCGAGATGATTGTAAAATTCTCTGCCACCAACATCTTCCGGCAATTATTGATCGCGCTAGTTCGCTTCGTCTATCAGATGATAATGACGATAATCCACAACAAATCAATGTATTATTTTCTTATAGTATCATTCTACGAGAATTCATTCATTTACGTGCACTCTCATTATGTAATTTACATTCCGTAGAGACAATGAATCGAATAATGATCGAGAGGCGCAATCTATTGTGTCTCACTCATCTGAAACTTGTTCAGTGCGATTCTATATTTGAACGGATCAATAGTATGCATCTATTCGACAGTATTTAGAATTTGTCTAAACTTACAGATTGTCGTTTATACATACAGGAATATTTTCATGGTCCAACAGCCATTTTGCTATTGCTCAATTATCTCTCAATGCTGAAATATTATTGTTGTTTAAACAAGTTGAACCGACTTCTTGAACGATCATCTTGTATTCAAAGCCTTTTTTTTACTCTTAAATGATCTGAATGATAATTCATGTCTTACATCATCTGTCTGTTCCGTCGTTAATTTCTTTGAAGTTTTATAATACAAGATCACGGTACGCCATATTCAATATTCTAATAAATATGCTTAATTTGAAACACTTGATACTTGAGACAAATTCTATAAAGATGGATAGACACCAATGATAAGATATCATTACCAACTATTTACCGAAGTTAACTGTTTTTCGACTAAAGATGATAATTCAATATTATAAAAGAATGGATAGCGAACAAAAAATTGGCAGGCTACTTAATTCGTTTAGAAGTTATTTTTGGATCGAAAAGTATAGATAGTTTGTTCGATGTCATCGACAGTTAATGGGTAATTATAGTAATGTTTTTATCTATACTTTTCCTCAGGTATTACCGGAATTCAACATGGATATCATAGATATTTCTTATAAATCCACTTATCTTTACAATGATAACTCTGGGTCATGCCAACAAGTTCGAAATTTTATGTATGAATCATCGACTAGTATTGACATGACTCGATCTCATATTCATTTTTCTAACATTCGTCACTTCTCTGTTCATCTTCCATTTAATGAACAGTTCTGGACTGTTTTCAAGAATCTCAATCAATTAAAATCGTTATCAGTTAGTTCGACTCATGATAGTACCAATGAGTGTATCTTCAAAGGTTGCTTGATCAAGCGACATATCTCTATTCATTAGAAATCAAATCATGGTCTCAATCTCAAATACTTTTGATCAATAATCAAAATAAATCGATCTGACGACTTGATTTACGCCATTTAACAATTCGTCATCAACAGAAAGAAGTTCAAGACATCTTCCAAGAAACAAAACTATGCTGAATTTGGTCGTTCGTTATAAGGTACTCAACGTAAAATACTTCGAGTAGCCACTGAATCTGAAGGGATATCGTTGCGTTTGTGAGCACGATGACTAACATGCGTTTATTGTACACTGCTTGTACATCTGATATATGGAACTATGCTGACCATGTATCTTCGATGAAGAAATTCGAATGTATCAAATCATTACAGACAATGTTGCCTTCTACATCTATAATTACACGAGTCACAGATGTTCATGGGTTTCTTCAATTGCAGATCCGTTGAAGCAAACTAAAACAATGATAAGAAATCAAATCAACTGTTAATAACATATAAGAGTAGTACTACTTTCGTTTTGATACTGAGCAAACGAATCAAAATTTGAAGATATAATAAATTACTATTGTTGACATATTTGATTCATATTAAAAACATTGCAAGTAACCATATTCCCGTATCATATATCATTTTAGTACACATTAAAAGTAGGAGAAGTACTCAAGCAGACTTGAATTACCTTATTGAAATTTCAGGTCATGAACTATTGGTGAAGAAGCAAATCGTTAGATTACATTTATTTGAAATTTTTAGAAATGCTCATCGGTAGAATAAAAGACTCACTAAAATGGTTGTACTTGTTGTATCAGAAGAGTATGTGTCTAACGTAAAATTCTTTAGATTTTTTTTTATTCTAACTACGAGCAAAACGTAGTCATAATAGGTGGCCGAACAGTCTTTAGATCACTTAGTATGTTTTGTGAAAAGCAACTCGCTTTATAGACCTTCATAGAATGATATCTTTAACTGTATGTATTCGACTTTCTTCCATTTAGAAATGTACCAGATATCTTTGGAATGTTTGTCTAATATATATTCAGAAAAAATTTCGTTTTCAATTTGATTTGAATACTGCAACAGTTCTCATTGTCATATAGGGCACAATGGAACCTATTTATAAATATTTATTTCAATCAATTTAGTGCATCAGAATTTTTGAAAACAATTTTATATTGAGTTCTCTTCATTTCTACTCTCACACAGATATCTCAGCTTCACTATTTCTTGAAGAGCCCAATTTTGAACAGCAGCAGTATTTATACATTTCGATCTCATAGATATAAAATTTAAAAAACAGTAAAACATGCAGTTCAACGTCAATGATAAGTTCGTTCGTACAATGTTTAGGCATGCAGTGAGTCAAGATTCAATTCTATACGACTAGATATGATGTTTATTAGCATAATTATTACATGACATATAGCTATTTATATTGTGAATATAACTCAATGTGAAGCGAAGGCTCGTCACTAGTAAATAATCTGCATACACTAAGCCTTCAATGAAAAATGACTGAAAGATATAAAATAAAGTTTGGTTCTGCAACATCTTGGCTATGTTTAATAGAAACTACATATTTTTAAAAAAAATTTCGTTATTCTAATGATAGTAAAATATAAGATTATGACGATTTTCGAGAATTTTCTCTTTAGTTCTCTTGGTTTACAACAATGATGATGATGATGATGATGTAAACTAAAATAAAAATTAGTTTCTATTCGCTTTCTGATTGGTGAATACCAGAGACCGAAATCGAATCGAAGGAATAAAAAAAAATTGAAAAAAAGCCGAATCGAATCGAATGAACAGAAGTGCAGAATCTACCCGTGTGCGCGTACGGCCGTGTGGGGAAAATTTTGCAAACCTAAGCACCAGGGGAAATTTTTGGAAAAATATTTTCTCTTCTAAGCGTGCAGGGGCAAGTATTTTTCCAAACGAATCTTGTTTTATTTATATGTGCATCGATCATATCATGCATCTTTCTTCTTTTATTTTATGTAAATTTTTGAAAGAATCATCCGTTTCTTACTCACGGTTTCAGTATATTCTGTTTGTTTGACGCTGATGATGCGTCGCACTACTGCTTATCTTTCGCTCTTTCTTGGCCGTAACTATGATGCAAAAACGGCTATTT